GGGGTTGCTTTTATGTTTTTTGTTTGTTTGTTTCGTTTGTTTTCTTGTTTTATTGGGTGTCTTTTTTTATTATTGTTGACGGGCCAAGGCAACTTTACCCCTGCCTATCACAACTATCAGGCAAGGGCAGACCCGGGTTCAGAGAGAATCGACGTGTACCAGCAGACTAAGAAAGATATTCGACAAAAAAAAACACCTCCTCACGAGAATCGAACTCATGTCATCTGCAGCCACTTCACTGCCGACACGCGTGTGTTCTCCTCAATTGTGCAAAATATATTTCACTGTTACATAATGTTTAATCATTACTACAGATTTGAACCAAATTATTATTCCTTTTCCTAGAAACGTAGATTCCTCATTTGTTATTTGATCGGTATTTGTTATTTTACTGTCTTGAAGATTTAATTCTTTAGAGAGCCTTTGTGTGGTTATTTATATTTAATCTCAAAAATGGTTATTTATTCACTTGTTTATGTATTTATTTGTTTCCGTTTATGGTTTTCCGAAGGGAGGGAAAAGGGGGGGGGGCACTTGGGTTCGAGGCGCAGATAATAGAGCAAGAAATTGAAAGGTTCTAGGAATTAAACATGCATTATATTAATCCAATAGGAACCAGGTAACAAAAAAAAGAACTTACTGATCCTTGGGGAAACCCCACTGGATTATAACCACAGTCCCGCTAGCTCTATCTCAGATTGGAGGAGGGGGAAGGGGTGGGGATTATATAGCTTCAGTGATGACTGAGAAGCGCTCGAAGTTCTTCCCCCTGATCACCGTGACCTTGAGCACGTCCGACTTCTCAACCATGCCATACACATCTGCCGATGTCTCCATCCTGGTGCCGTTTATTTCCACAATGACGTCACCAGCATGCAAACCACCCCTGGGGACACGGAATGAGGAACGTGTAATCGTGTGTCAAGGAAACAGAAAATGTCATGAATGTATACCTTGTTGTAGATTATTCTGGAGACTGTGAGCACTTGGGTGTCAGGTTTAAGTAAAGAATACCCCCTTTCCCAGCCCCCTTGCCTCAAACACCTTTTTGACCTGCTTGATCTAGTACGCAACATCGAAGGTCACCGGAGGTTAGCTGAGCAGGGTGATCTAAGAATATGCCTTACAGAAAACAGCCCTCTCTTATTGACGTAAAAGAAGGAGTTGGCGATGGATTTTTTTAAAAACTTTTTTTCGAGCGACGTACGGGGGGGGGGGTGTGAGGTGGCATAGTTCATTTCGTATTTCACTGGGTTGTGGACGTGAGAGTTACCGTGGTTCGAATCTTCAGCAGTGCATTTTTGAGCATGAGAGCAGGTTTAGTCAGTTTTCAGGGCTTTACTAAACGAATCAAAAGGTTTGGACTCCTAATGAAAGTGGGGCACAACAGCCAGCCTCAGAAGCCTACCATATATGAGATCCAACGAATTCAAAGAATGAGGAAGACCAAGATAAAAGCTTAAGCAGTAAAAGAAAAAAACTAACATCAACATTCCATCATCATCATCATCATCATCATCATCATCATTTTTTGGTAAGCAGGGTAGGAGGGAGAGTCTTGTTTTAATTTTAGACAAAAATAAAATAACAATATAAAATGTTTAAATTTGT